ACCACTGATGGCAGGCATAACAAGCTTTGTAGGACACTACCTTGTTTTGTAGGTAATAAAGATACCGCATGAGGTCAGTCTCAGTGACTATACTGTTGAATATCTACAACAACACAGTAGCTATGGCAGAAAGCCTATGATCGATATTCATACCTTCTGTGACATATACGGTGTAATACGCCGCAATGGTTTGGGTATAAGGCCTAGGTCAGCCTCTGTGGAATGCCTATCCCCCTCGGTGGACTCAGTGCCAATAGCGGTAGCAATGACCTAAGAATAGCACCCTACAATTGAGGCTAGTATTGTATGCCCACCTGCAATAGAGCTTCTACGTCCTTTACAGTATGTGTCTCATCAAAGGTAGCCGACACTGTAGCTGGATCGACCAATCTTAGATTCATACCCGCTGCCACTGCTGCCTTCATAATCCTGGAAGCTGCCTCAGGCGATCCAGGCTTCATTGACACACAGTCAAAAAACATGTCGGAGGTGACGACCGGCACCTCCATACGTTGGAGTCCATCGACAAGGAGTTGACCAAGAGCATGCACTCTACTAGCAATACGAGTTAAGCCCGATGGTCCATGGTAAACAGCATACATTGCACTCATATTAGCCAGGAGTGCCTGGGCTGTACATACGTTGGAGGTCGCCTTATTAAGCCTAAGACCAAGAAGGAGATAGTGACTACTGAGGTAGAATGATCGATACCTGATATGCTGCTCCCTAGTCTGCAGTGTAAGCCTATATGCCGGGTTACCCTGAGCATCCTGTGATACCCCTACCAACCTTCCAGCCATACGACGGGTATTTGCTGAGGTAGTAGATAGATATCCAGCAGCTGGTCCACCATACCACATAGGCACACCAAACCTTTGCATAGTACCCACTACTACTTGGGCACCCATATCACTTGGAGGCTTGCATACAGTAAGTGCTAGAGGATCGGCTGCTACAGCCAGAGTTCCTCCACTACCCTCCTTGAGGGCATCAGCAAGAAAGGTGAAATCACGAAGGACACCTTGGGTATCAGGGTATTGTACAAAGGCTCCGATGAGGTCCTTCCTTGTAAAATCGAAGGAATCAATATCGCCTATCTCCAAAGGTATCCCTGCCCATTGAGCCCGAGTCTTAACGACCTCGATAGTCTGTGGATGCATAGTATCCGATATGAACATGACCTTACGAGTACTATTACCAACACCTATACAAGATCAATAT